CCACAATTTCCATGAGTCAGATGGTGCTTAATACTGCGTAATTATGGAATGACTACTAAAGACAACTTGCCAGGGGGTTCATTTGCAGCACTGAAATGTCAAGAGCTAAATTTGGCACTGTCACTTTGTGGTCTCCTTGTCTTGAAAAGATTACTTTATCTTAAAATGAAAACTGTTATTCACTATTTGTAGGTGAACATATCTCTTCCTTTGCAAACTGCATTTTGCTCTGCAGAGACATTATTCAGTTTTCTATAATTAAAAATGTTATTCTGGAGAGCTACAAAATGCCCTTTAATATTGTCTTACTCTGTTCCGCCTGTTTCCTTCATTTATAGTCGAGATATAGGAAAGATGAAATGTGATACTGATACCTAGTGATAGACTTAAATCATTTTTTATTTGCTCCTAAGGTTATAATTATACTGCAAATGGGTGAATATTAAAATTCGTGCACATCAAAGTTGTATTAGAAATTCATTTTTCTATTGAACGGCCAAAGTAAACAAACTTGAATTATATAAAACAATCTTAGAAACAACTTAATGTTTTCACTCATTTTTTTCCTAATTAGAAATTGTATGTGTTTTTTTTCCTAGTTCTTTTTCTCAAACTAGTTAAAGATCAATCCATGTTATATATGTGGCATTGCATATTACCACAAACAATATAGATTGGGATTTCTGGTTTAAATTATGTTATTTATTTGTAATCAAAATTGAGATTTCATACTCTTCTTAGAATATTAACCTGATGGCAAAACTTGAAGATCATGTTTGATATGTGGGTGTGTTTAATTAAGTAAAAACAAAATATCTTAAAATTCAATGTTTCATTACATTTAACAGTATTTTTAAAATATCCATTTCTGTTTACAACATTTTATAGGAAGCTGAGAAAAAGTGACTAGGACCACTTCTAAGTTCCTAAGATTTCAGCCTTTTTCTATAAAAGAGAACACCCAAGTTGTCAGCAACAGGTGCAGGATAAAGAAAAACTGAACTTGCTGGGATGTGGGGTCTGTCATCACCCCCTCTTCTGGCTACACAGGACTGTGCAGAGCAACACAAGAACAGCTTTACTTCATTCAAGAGCAACATAAAACAAAACAAAACAACAGCAACAAAACAGGCTCTTTTATAGCATCTTGAAACAGCAACTAAATCTTCAGAAACTAGAGGTAGCTTAGGATACAGTTAACACAGTTAACTCTGGTTTTGATGTGCTAAGTTAAATCCTAGGTTCATCATTAACTAGTCATTTGATCATAGGCATTGTGTACTCTGAGTTTCTTTACTTGGAAAGTGAGGACAAAAACATTCCAGTTTAATGTTGTGGGGGTTAAATAATATGGCATAGAATAAATTCACAATGAGGATTTGTTGTTATTAATACAAATAGCTGTATACTTTTTAGTCTTTCATGGAGCGTATCTTTGTTCAACATCCCCAGGAATTCTTCTAATGGGATTAGGTTTATATTACCCTTGTTAGAAATGAGAAAAAAAATCATTATGAATGAACACAACACATTTTCATACCTGGGCCCAAACAAGTCACCATACATACATAACTATCTGCCTCCACTGAATACATATAGGGATATGTATTGGGAACAGTAGATATCCACCTTATCCATTAATTTTAGAGTGTAAGTCTTCCAAGCCTGGGATCAATTTTCTTTGAGATTTGTTATTCAGGAGAGCTTCTGTCAATGCATTCTGTACCTTACCTCTTTTTGTTACATCGCCTGCAGTGTCTAGTCAGGGATGACCTGATTGAGTGATGAGTACAATGACAATGAAAATTTAAGCAGCACAACGAGACACACGGCTCAAAGTCCCCACCTTGCAGCAATTCTGGCATACCTGCTAATGCATGCATCATGCAAAACATCCAGATAGAAATTGATGACCTTTTGAAATGTAGGATGTAGTCATTTTGTCACTTATTTACCTCCATTATTTCACTTGGTTGCAACTATTTTCATTCCTGTGTTTGCACCCATAACCAAACTGATGGTGAGTTTTAATTCCTAGGGTGGTGGTTTTGTCAGGCAGTGTTCTTTTAGTCTGGGTGTTGTGGTTTAAGTCTCAGTTCTCTGAAGGCAAAGAATGATTAGAAACACTAAAGACAGTAACTTTAATATTAAAATATCAGCAGAAATTTGTTTTTGAAAAGGGTACTCACAGAAAAATCCATGAGGACAGAATGTCAGGTAAACATTCCCTCAGAGAATTTCAAAGGTTGTAGGTCACATTCCAAACAAATAATCAACAAACCAGGAAATCAGAGTGGAAAGCACATTTAAGAAACAGATAAAGCTAGCTAATAATATCCAAGATTATTCAAAGTTTAGGAGTCAAATGTGGTCATTGAATGTTGTGTATTTTAAGATGGGAAATTGGTCTTAGCTGGGAATAATATTGAGGAATTAAATTTTACTATTGCTATATACTACATAAAGATAGGTAAACTTCAGAATTACTCAAAGTCCAAAGGACACTTGGATTTCTAATCTTACATGATTTTTGGAAGAAAGTTTTATAGTGCAATTAAGTTTTTTTCTTTATCAAATTTCAGACAGTTAATGAACGCATATAACAGCTCTTAATCTCTTTAAAGTTTATTTTCTCTGATTGAAAAAAGTTTATAATTTATGTAAGGTAATATATCAAGGAACATCATTAATTAATTAAAAGCATCATAACATGAAATGTTTTAATATAGTTTCTAAATGGTATAACCAATGGTATGACATTTAATTTTTTAAAATTCTCAACTTACGCCACATTCTTTGGCTCTTACAGGACACCTCCAAAAGTGCACTGATTTTATACTGATGAATGTAAGTTGTTGGGCATTTAAATTACCTCTTTCCGTTTTTCTTCTTTGCATTAGGAAAAGGCCCCCTGAATGAAAGATGAAAGGTCACATCTTCCTGATTTTTCAAGATTCATTTAACTGCTCTTTAAAAATTTGTGTCCCTTATCAGAACCTCTCACATCTCTTTTTCTGCAATGAAATAATGATGAGGGAGCACACCATGCTCTCACAGGGACTCTCCTGAGTGTCTCCTTCTTCTGCTTGGTTGTACTAGCTCGTGGTAGGATTAATTCAAATATAGATGGAAGGACAAAACAATTTTCAGGACTCCGAACAGTCACTGCTCTGTTGACTAGAACAAATAATTGGCTTAATTTCTGGATTGCAAAAATGATGTTTTGTCTTTTCTTGGAGATCTCTCACCTGCCAAACACAGTCTTTATGCATTTACTTATTTTGACATAGTTCCTCAAGGAGGAAAATTAATGCCTGTTTTCATTAGTGGAATACTTCATTTTCTTCTTAAGAAGACACATTTTTTTCCTTTCCAGAAGTTTATAATCCCAGATGCAAAGAGATAATAGTCTTATAAATCACAATAAATATAAAGAAGAATAGTTTTGACACTCTAATATTACTATGGAGTGGAGAGTTAAAGACTACGAACAATCAGAATTATTGTAGTGGCTATAATCACACTCATTGTATTATGAAGTCAGAGTGCATCTATAATGATATATTAACTAAGATTGCTGTAAATGAAAAATTTGGTTTCCTTTTAATGAACTGTATGCATGTAGTCCTCAAGGTAGAAAAACACTTATTAGAAGATCTGGCATGAATTTCTCCTCCTAAATGGATATTCATTAAGAATAGTTCCTAATCAGTATTATATCTATGATCATCTTTTTCCAAATATGACTTCATATACCTAAAAACTATAGATTAAATATTTGTAATACTTTATTACTTTGAAATATAAAATGTTATATTTAATAAGAATGCTCTAAAATTATATCTATTTATCACATGTATCCAAGGGTGATCTAATTCAACCTTTATTTCAGGGATGTTTTGAAAATCTCATTATACTAAAACAGGCAATTAAGTGTTTATTTGTAGGCCGGCATTATAGCTGCAAGTAATAAATATTAAGTTAGTAAAATTTAGATTTACTACATACAGAACTTTTGGCTTCCATTAAAAGATTACCTCATAGGCACTTTCACTCATTAGTTTTCCATATAAGGCTGAGTTGCTTATATGAGCATTTTCAAAGTGTCAGTTGGACCAATGAGAGCACAGTGGAAAGGGGGAAGGTGCACGTCATCGAGTAGTAACAGGCACATCCATTCCATCATTTTTCCCAAAGCAGGTCATCTTTTGGCAGCTGAGAACTTTGATCACAGCAAAGTGTTGACACAAAAATCAATCACATTCTCCTTAGTTCAAGATCAGTGTGCAAAAACTCAAAAGACATACACTAAAAGCTGTACAACCAACGTGTTTTGTAATAATTTTGGTTAGTTTCATTTAGAAGCAACTCACAAATTCTGAATTAAATACTGTATATAAATAAACAAGATGACAGTTATAGTCACTGAAACACTTGAGTGCATAATTTTCTGCACTGAGATCTCATTTAGTGTTGTAGCAAATTTTATTAAGCAAAGCTGAAAGGGGAATTTACTTGAATTGCAAAAAATCTTCTTTCTCAGATGAAATAAGCAGCTGTCAAGTAAATACATCCCGGACAACTGGGTCATCAGCTGTCTTTAAACTTCTGGAAACAAGCAGAGGCTAAAACTTTCTTTTTGATGTAGTTTTAATATAAGGAATCCACTTTTCACAGAGGTTTTATTTAAAAATGCTGGTTTAAATATTCGTAAATGCAACACCTTTACACTTACATACTTTTCATTGTATTTTGATAATGTAGGGGAATATGGAAGCCAGAGAGCAAAAAAAATAGAGCAGGCATAGTTTCCACATATGATCAAATTTTATGCTACTGTTTATTATTTTTTTTAAAGCAGGATTCTCTTCTTCCAAATTCTACCATTTCACTGAATAATACCATTCCTCTCCATGAAAAATAAACCTCTTTGCAAGTTCCTGGAGTTCCCTACTGTTGAAAGATGTTTCAGTGACCAAACAATTCACCCTTTTAGTTACCTTAATGGCAGAGAGATCGATTTTTTCTTCTTTGGGTTTGGCTGGGGCCGGCGCAGGTGCTGGGGCAGGGGCAGGGGCAGCAGCAGCAGCAGGTTTCTTCACGTCCTTCTTTGGTGCCATTTTGTTTAAAAGGATGGGTTAAAAAAAGAAGGAGCTCCTCCAAAAGAACCTGTCAAAATGATACTTGGAAGAGGAGTGGTGGTTCGCTTGATCCACAGCCCAGAGTCTTGAAGGTGGACCCAGAGTGTTAAACGGTATAAGGGCATGCATATATATTTCACTTAGTGCCTAACAGAACCTTGACACATGCGGCTGGATTGGACAGTTCTCTAGTCAAGGGGGATGGCATTCAGCTCAGACTATAAATGGAATCTAAAGGGTCAGGGCTTCATCAATTTTTTTAAACTCCTCTTGCTATTTTTTTTTTTCACCGCCATATATAAAGAAGAAAGAAGTCTGACAAAGCCAGCTTCAGATCCTTTGGTGACAGCAAAGTAGATTGACACAGCTTTTCTTGGTAGAATTACAGTTCTGTTGAAGTTGTAAATCTTTTTCTTTTTTTTCTTCCCATGCCCAGGAAACTTCACTGGAGGATTCAATTTCAACTTGGAATTTTGGCAGGGAGTGTCACCAACTTTCACCCAGCTCCTTTTCTCATGCTCCTCCCTCCTGGCCATAAGTTGCAAGAAATTGCTGGTCAGCAAAGAGGCGACGGGGTTTAAAAATAAAAAGCCTACGTATAAGGAAAGCTCTTCAAATCTTAAAGTGTTTTTCCTTCTAGGGAGCACAAACTCTGACTCTCTAATCACAATAAACTCTATGCTAAAGAAAAATGACTCAAAACTATTTCCTATAATTTAATTTTCATGTTAGAATATAATGAAAAATATTAAGTGAGATAAAAATTTCAGCAAGATTTGCTTTCTTATAAAACAAGTTTTCTAACAGCATGTAGCTTTCAAAGTAGACACTTATCCATTTTACTTTCTAAATGGCATAACATTTAATTATTTATCTGTCATCTAAATATTTTATCCCTATTGGGGAGACAGATAAAATGGATCTTTTATAATTTTTTAAGTGGCAAATTCTGCCAGAGAGGGGGTTATAATTGATTCTAAGCTATTGATTGTGTAGTACCACCCTCACTTTTTAAAATTAGTGAGCTATTTAATTAATTACTATAAACAAGTTATTAATTAGAACAATTATTTCATGATTTTAAAAGAGCAAATTTACAAATTATGTATAAGTGTACAGATATGTATACACATACACATGCATATACTCATATGTAACTATACATATTATATATTCTAATTTTTAAATATAGTTGTGTTTAAAGATATAGATTCATCATCTACTTTATGTTGGTCTGGTGTTAAAGATTTCTCCAACTCAGAGAAGCTTACTCTTTCTGTATATTATAACCAAGAGAGATTAAGATGCTTATATTAGTAATAATCCACCTAAATTACAACTAACCCATAGTTTATCACTCTTTTCCTTATGTGGTGGACTAATATAATGAATTATTTAATTCATATATGTTCAGGGAAGATTTTGGTATAGCATTCTAAATTAAATTTATTTTTAACTGGTACATTTTTATGTGCCTATCAATGGAATACCATGTGCTGTTTCAATACATGTATATACATTTGGCAATCAGGTGAAACACATCTGTCTCCTCCAACTTCATCAGTTCCTCATGGTGAATGCATTCAGAATCCATTCTTCTAGCTTTATGGGTTGTAGGGCACACATCTAGTTAGCAGGAGTGCACTAGAAATTCTCACCCCCATGTGCCTGCACTTAGTACACATCCCTCCCTCCCTGATTCTCTTCCCAGCCTCTGCCATCTCTCTACTCTCAGTTTCAACAAGAGACCAATTTTATATTCCATGTATGAGTGAGATCATGTGGTGCTTTTCGTACCTGGCTTAAGGAAAAGCTTTTTGATTAGTTCCCTCCCTTTTGTTGCTCTGCACTAGACTCACTCATTACCATAAGTTAGTGGTTTATAGTCTTTTCCTATATACAGGACACTTATGAGAATATGAATATGTTGTTTTACCTAAGAATACTATCTCATATTTAAGTAATTAGAGTACAGTTAAAATAATGCTATGCTTATAATAGGAACATTATTTTTATACATAGCAGAAATTTGTCCACCACTTTATTTTCCTTTGAATTTTCAAAGGATAGATTGAAATTTTCTGCAGTCACTGAGCCACAGATATGTTCTTGCTTTAATTTACGGCCTATAGTAATACTTTGATTCCTATGCAGAAATCTCCTAAGATATAGAACAGGGTTGACAAGTAAAAGAGCTTTATGTCTTTTGAGCAAAAATGTTTTAATCCACCTTACCTTCAGAAAATAAATTGATACAATAAAAAATAGATTCATCCATTCACATAAAATATGTTTTACATTGATAATGTCACCAAAGAGCAATAATTTCCATCTTAACAACTTAAAATACTCAAAATGTGAGATTGGAACACTTTATTTTTATATTAAAGGGACAAATGGCTTGATTGCACTATAGCCCTAAATTCCTTTGTTACTGGATATATATCATAAGAGTAGGTATGTATGTGCATATACATAATTTAATATATTTTATATTTATCATATGGAAAAACTTATAGTATATATTTATTTTAAAATATTATATATGCATATATATATATATATTCTTGTGTTTTACATAAAATATTTTGGTGTAGAATTTTCTTCTTCTTAAAAGGAGAAACTGCAAAGGAAAAGTGCTATTCTGATCATATCAGGGTACATACTATCAACATGACATTACTGTGGATGTTAACCTTGACAATGTGGCTCAAGTAGCATTTGATACCCCAAAGCCAAAACCCAATCTGATTATGAGAAAAAAGCTAGTCAGATCCAAACTGAGGGGTACTCTACAAAACATCTAACAAGAACATTTTATAATTGTCAAGGTTATTAACGAAGGATAATCTGAGAAACTCTCAGCACATAGAGGAGCATAAGGAAACTTGGTAGGTAAATGTAATCTAGTGCTATAGAAGCGATTCTGGAATAAAAAGGAGACATTAGGTAAAAATCTGAACAGGGCATGGATTTTGGCCAAAGACATGTATCAGTACTGGTTCATTAGTAATAATAAATATGTTGTGCTAACAGTAGAACCAACTGGGTGTGCAATACATGGGAACTCTGGCCTTTTCTCATAATTTTTTTTTGTTATCCTCAAAGTACTCTAAAATAAAACTTATTTGTATAAAAATCAAGAACTAAAACCAACCAAAAAAAATGTAGAAAATAATTCAGCCTCAGATTTCAAAGGAGAGAGATATACAACCTCTTTCCTACGTAGTCATTATTCTTTGTGTTTGGGGTCAGGTTTGTTATAGAAGGAAGGTCTAAACATGTTTTCAGTTTATAGCACTGAGGTCTTTTTGAAATGGTCAGTCCTACTGAACACAGACAATATTAGTCATACACAGAAATTACACGTGGAGAAATAATTTGGGGACTTTCTGAAACTATAATTCGAATCACTTAATATGGCAATCAGAATCAAATTGAAATTTCTCCTGATTCTGCTCCTTCATGTGGGGCTATGTGACAGGACTTACTTGTAAGGGGAAAAAAGGGCAACAGCTGAGGATTCGTGTCCTTAATGCCAGCTGACATGCCGGGTCCAAATCTTCCAAGCGCTCCTCATGCTTAACTGTACCATTTGCTGTATAAGTGTTTTTAGATGCTTACCAATGCACAGGTGGATGGCAGAGCAGGTACAAATTCATGAGTAAAGGGGGCCCATCATATTCTGTCATCTAATCCTATCATATTTCTTTAACCATGAAGTTTACCACATGGTTAAGCTTTGCCATACATTAATCTGTTTCTTATTGGGCTAAGATAAACTACTTGTCTTCAATTTGGAAATGTTGGCCCAGGAAATGAAGCAACCACTATTTGTTCATGTCATTAGTTCATATCGCAGCCTGACACTATTAACCACTCAGTAGGCAACCACAGGGAGTTATTTATATCACACATATCGATTGCCGGTTATAAACCAGTCATATGTTATGTGAGATACTAGACCTATACTATTGTATGCTGTGTATCACTAAGGGAACAAGTCAGATTTAGTTTCAGTTCTCTTGGAGAACTGAGGCGAATGTTTGAAGGATTATTCTAATGGGGTTAAGAGAATAAGGAGTTGGGAAAATTGACTTGTAGATATCAGCAGAGGCAACTATTAAGGAAAGGCTAATTGTATTGAGAACCAGAAGAAGAGAGGACTTTATAGATGAAGAGTGGGGGAGAGGATTCTAGGCAAAAAGAAGAAAGTGATGTCTGCATGACACACCTTAAAGGAAGTTGCTATATACAATAAAAGTAATATTTGTATCAGGAAATACTTAAACACTAGAAAATTTTTAAAAGGGGGCAAAATCAAAAGGTAGATTGGAAATGGCTGTATCAGTTGTCCTTTATAGACTGGGGAGAGAGAGAGAGAGGGCCTGAAAAATTTTAAAACTCACACTTGGTTGAATGTGTGCTTGTAAAGTAAAGTAGAAATACTGTTTATCTAACAGAAAGAAATATCAAATAGGTGATTGCATCTTTAAAAAATCTCAAGAGTATAAGGTTAAAATGTGTAATGGATTTTACCTGCCTGTATCATGCTCTTAGGAAGCGGGAGATAGGAAATGTCATTTTCACTTTGTAGGAAAAACATTGAAGAAGAAGAGTATTGACCTGGTCAGCATCAGTAATTCAGTGTGTTTCTTACTTCCTACCAATCATTTTGCCCAAGTAATCAATTTTTTTTTGTGTGTGTGTACACAATAATTCCTCAAGAGCATTGACACTTATTTTGCATTTACTGCAGATGGGAACCGTTAAAGCTTTCTTGTAAAGTCTTGTAGAATTAGATTTGAATTTGTTGTCATAAGCCCTTTATACATTCCTGAAAAAAAAAATCCAGAGGCTTGTTGGTTAGTACTTAGTATGCAATAATCATGAAATTTTTAAGTTCTTGATATAAAATATCTTTTTATTTATAAGACCACATTTTTTTGGCATAATGAAGTGCTAAATTATGCTTAAAAAACTTTTATCCCTTCCCATTGACATATTTCTTTAAGCCAAATCAAAAATTAACTTGGTTTTGTGAATTAACCTCTGTGCATGTGTATAAACACCAAGATATTAAAAATAGTTATTTTTGAGGGGTAGAATTATG